CCCCAAAACCCCAAAACCCCTTTAAAATTTGTATCAAGATAATTGTAATAATATATATATGAAAATATATAAATAGTAATAATAATTATATATGAAAAGTTCCCCAACCAAATTAGCTGTTTTATCTACAGTTCTGTTATCATCGCTATCTCTAGCTTCAGCTCAAAATTCTACATACAAACGAGGATTGACAGACCACTTCATTGGTTATTTGGGTGCTACTAAAAACTACTACCCCTATCATTTTAACCGAACAGATTTCTTCGGTGGATCATTCGGAGGTAAAGATAATGATTCAACCCCTATCACTAAGGTCCCAGTTATCTTTATTCATGGAGCTGCTGACTAAATCATTGGTGAGGAATGGGCAAATAATGGATTCAGATACTCTATTGAATATTTCCTTCAACAAGGCTATACCAAGGCAGAGTTATATGGATCTATGTGGGGTTTTGCTGATCTCTTTTATGAGTACAATTTGGTCCATAATAGTGAATGGATCTTGTAAATCAGAAAGTTTATAGAAGCTGTCATAGATTATACAGGCGCTGAAAAAGTCAATATTATTGCTCATTCTATGGGAGTTACTCTCTCTAGAGCTGCCATTAAAGGAGGTAAATATTCTATTGGCGATGATCAAGAAATTGATTTGGGCGAACCTATCAATGAATTCATATAAACTTATGTTGCAATAGCTGGTGGAAACTATGGAGTATCCATTTGCAATATCTAATTTTACTACGATGCCTTTAGAATTTGCAATAATTAAACTGGATTTTTTCCAGGTACTTAAGATGACAAGCCTCAGTGTAAGGATATTTCAAAATTCCTTGGAAGACTCAATAAAAACAAGATTAAGGAAGGAGATTATACCTATGCCTTGCTAAGTCTCTATGATTAAGTTGTTCCTCCTGTAGTATTCAACAGATACACATCATTCTTCCCTACCATGGATTAAGGATTTATTTTCAATAGCTCAGAGTATGATCACGTCGGAGTGAGAGACCTAACAGCAAATGTTTAATACGTTTTAGTTAATCAACATTATTTCACACCATCATAGGGAGAGAATGTCTTCCTCTATGCAAATTCTGATGAGAAGTAAGATATCAAGGTATTTCTCTAATGATATATCTTTGATAATTAACCACAAATTAGTGGTATTTCACCATTGATATATTTAAGCTTCTTTATAACTTAAAGCATAATATTTTGGTGAGATGGGGTTTTGGGGTTTTGGGG